AATACCTTTAGGCTATCAATGAAGAGGCTGGGACACTTGAAGAGTTTCATCTAAGTATAGTTCCCAAGTCTGGCAACAACCAGGCGGATGCCTTATCCAAATTGGCATCTTCCTCCTGCTGTGACACGCCTCGGTCAGTCTTTTGGGAAGTTCTTGAAAAGTGAAGCATATATGAAGAGCCCATTGGAATCCTTGACCGAAGCTCTACCTGGATGGATGGCATCCGGGCTTACCTCACAGACGGCACGCTCCTGGACTCACCGCACGAGGCAGCCGTCATGAAGAAAAGAGCTGCAAACTTTAGGATGAGAAATGGAGAACTCTTCAAAACAGGATTTTTGAAACCTCTTCTGAAGTATGTTACCCCAGAAAAGGGGAAGGAAGTTCTCGAAGAATTGCATGCAGGATATTGCGCCTCCCATATATGCGGCAAATCCTTAGCCACCAGGGCCAAGCTACAGGGTTATTTTTGGCCCACTCTTGAGTCAGACGCTAAAGAGATGGTGATAAAATATGACAAGTGCCAAAAATTTTGCAAGCTCATTCATCGTCCGGCTACTAACCTGACGGCAATCCACATCCCAGTCCCATTTGCTAAATGGGGCATGGACGTTTTAGGTCCTTACACGCTTGCGCAGAAAAGATATATGGCTGTGGATTACTTCACCAATTGGGTGGAGGTGGAGGCGGTCAAAAACAATAAGACAAAGGATGTCATCTCTTTCATATGGAAGAACATCATCACCCGATTTGGTGTACCTATGTCTATGGTGTTTGATAATGGCCCTCAATTTGAAACGCCTCAACTCAAAACTTGGTTGGGAGATCAAGAGATCTCAAATTATTTTGCATCAGTAGGCCGACCCCAAGAGAACGGCCAAGTCGAAGCCTTCAACAAACTCATCTCAGACGGCATCAAGAAGGAAATTGAAAAAGTAGGTGGCTTATGGGCAGAAGAATTAATTCATGTCCTATTGGCCATCCTGACAACTGCGAAAGGGGAAATCGGTGAAACCCCATTTCTCATGGTATAAGGTGTTGAAGCCGTCTTGCCCATCGAGCATTATGAGTCGACACTACCAGTCATGCTTTACGATGAAGACTAAGTGATGCATTATGAGTCGACTCTACCAGTCATGCTTTACGATGAAGACTAAGTGATGCATTATGAGTCGACTTTACCAGTCATGCATTATAACAGAATTCTGTTATGCATTGTAACAATATTTTGTATTCAAATATTTCTGTATAAATAGAGATTTAGGGCTGTAATATCATTATTCAATCATTAATAAAATTCTACATTCTCAAAACTCTTTCTCTCTCAAAATCTTCTCTCTAAATCCTCTGAGTTTTTCTGCTGAAATTCTTAAGAGAAATCTGCTAGATTGCAGATTTCATCATGGTATCAGAGCTCTGAATTTCTCAATCATCATTACTTCCGCTCGGTTTTTCTTAAGTTCTCCTCTCAATTTTTCATTAATTGAGGTATTGATTTCTTTGTTTGATTTTTTTTTTTTGCAATTTGTTGCTGCCAAATCTTCTGCAATTCTTGCATATTTCTGCAATTTGTTGATACTTTAAGAGATTTCTAAATGTAGTTATTGCGTGAAGTTGATTTACACTTCCATTTGGTTGTTGTTTGCTTCTACATATTCATTTTTCTAGAAGTTGTTGCGTAATTTCTGCAAAATTCTCTATGAGTTTGAACAATGGCTGGTTCTTCACATATGCCTTTACCTGTTGGTCAAGATCCTTCCTCTCCTTAATACATTCATCCTTCTAACATGAATTCGATGCAATTTGTTACTGATAAGTTCAATGGTGAAGGATTCACCGATTGGAAGAGGATCATGACTATTAATCTCAGCAAAGAACAAATTAGGTTTTGTAACTAGTGTAATTGCTAAACCTAGTCTTGAGAATGTATCCTTCAAACAATAAAGAAAATGCAACGATATGATAATTTCTTGGATTCTTTATAATCTAGACACCATTATAGCTCGTAGTGTTCTCTATTTCAATACTACTGCTGAGATATGGAAGGACCTTGAGGATACATATTGATACACATCTGGACCTCAGTTGTACTCAATTAAACAGCAACTATCAGAGGAAAACCAAGGTGCCGAGTCAATAGCAGAATTCTTCACTAAGATGAAAATGCTATGGGATGAGTTGAATGATGCTAGTCCTCTCCCTGCATGTACTTGTAACCAGTGTACCTGTAACTTGACACAAAAAATTTTCAAGCTATATAGAGGCTGATGTAATTTCTTATGAAGCTCACTGAGCAGTATGCTGCTGTTCATGGTAATATCTTGATGATGAATCCTTTACCTCATCTAATTCAGGCTTTAAGGCTTCTTATTTAGGAAGAAAGGCATAAGGAACTGAGTAATATACACAGTGCTAATCAAGGATCCAATGATTCTATGACATTTGTATCAACTAGAAGATTTGGTGATAGGCTATAGAACAAAGGTTACAGGCCTCAAGACTTCAAGTATGATAATCAAAGTAACTCCAATACTCAAGTTATGGCTGGAAACAAGAAATATACATTCTGCATCCATTGCAATAGACCGGGTCATTCAATTGACACTTGCTGGAAATTACAAGGCTATCTAGATGAGTTTAAAAAGAATGTTTGACAGAAAAGGAGAAGTGTTGCTACAGCTTCTCAGCAAAATGAGAATGATGCAATAGCTGGGAATGAGAATCAGAATGAACAGGTTGCTAGACCTATTATCACTGTGGATCAATATAATTATCTAATTGGTTTGTTAAACAAGAAAAACAATGATTCTCTTTCTGTTCCAGCATCTACTACACCTGATGTTGATGCTCAGGCAAATTTGGTAGGTAAATTCTGTCTTTCCACTATTTTAAATGTTAGCTGGTTGATTGATAGTGGTGCTACTGACCATATACGCACTGATCTGAATATGTTTACTTCTAATAAGAAGTTAACAGGTATAAACAACACTATAACCATACCTGATGGTAGTAAAGTGGATGTATTGCATATTGGAACAGTCTGTGTCAATAATTCTATATTCTTGACTGATGTGCTACATGTTCCTGCATTCAAATTCAATTTACTGTATGTTCACAAATTATGCAAGGATTTAAACTATACAGTCACATTGACTTAGAATACATGTCTTTGCAGGGCCTTTCACAGAGTTCAATTCATCTTTATAATCTGCATGCTAGTCTGTATTGTGTGGAAGACAAGAGGTTGCCTAGCAGTAGTGTTCTACCTAGTTGTGTTTCTAAGAGTTGTAATAATACTATTTGGGATAAAACTAGTAATACCACTAAGATAGCTCAGCTGTGGCATCTTAGGTTAGGTCATTTATCATTTCATTATTTTAAACATATTTTGCCATGGCATGTCAAAGATTGTACTGACCATGTCTTGTGTAAAATTTTTCCTGCTGCTAAGCAAGTTAGAAAGTCTTTTCCTACTAGTTCAATACAAACTTGTAAACCTTTTAAGTTAATTCATATTGATGTATGGGGTCCATATAAAGACAAAACATATAATGGATACAATCAGTTTTTGACTATAGTTGATGATTTTACAAGATATACATGGGTTCATTTGCTCAAATTTAAAAGTGATGCTGTTAATGTCATGATTAATTTTTCTGAGTATGCTCACACACAATTTAAATCCAAAATTTTATGTGTGAGGTCTGATAATTCCCTGGAGTTAACAAAAGGTCAAAAGAAACAATTCTACATCAAACATGGAATTATTCATCAGACAAGCTGCTCTAACACTCCTCAGCAAAATGGGGTGGTAGAACGCAAACACAGACATCTCCTTGAGACTGGCAGAGCTCTCATTTTTCAATCCAAACTTCCTAAAAGATTTTGGGGAGAGATAGTTATGTGTGCTGCTTACCTAATCAATAGAATGCCTCTAAAGTCTATTAACTATTCAACACCTTACCAGAAACTTCACAATAAACAAGCTTCTATAGATCATTTTAAAAGCTTTGGATGCCTTTGTTTCCTCTCTACATCAAAGGTTAATAGAAGCAAATTTGATGCTAGAGCCTCACCAGGTGTTTTCATTGGGTATCCTTTACATCAGAAGGGTTACAAAGTGCTTGATCTAAACACTTACAAGATCATACTCACAAGAGATGTCACCTTTCCTGAACATCACTTTCCTTTTCATTTCAATGACACAAACCATATTACCCCTACCATTTTTATCTCTAGACACACATCTAATTCTTTAGATAATTTTGAGCCCTCAGATATTTTCTCACCACCTGTAGTTCCAAATCCTGATAGTCCTCAAAATCAAAATATCTCCCATGCTTCTTCTCAAACTCAGACTGTTACCTTTGAGGACTCTTCTGCAGATGCTATTTCAAACACTACTCCTCCTTCTCGTTCTCCTTTTTTATCTACACCCTCACAACTTCCTTTTATATTGCCTTCTAAATAGTCTGCCTGAATTTCCAGACCACCCATCTGGATGAAGGATTACAAGTGCTACTCTACTCAGAAGCACTGGTGTTATTTGGTGTCTTTTGATGCCTTACCTGCTATTTCTAGAAATAATCTTGCGCACACTTCTCATCTAATTGACCATGTTTCCTATATAGAATCTTCTCAAGACCATAATTGGGTTCAAGCAATGCAGAAGGAAATATCAGCTTTAGAAGCAAAAGCACGCAACTTGGGATATTGTATACATTCCTCCCTCAAAGAAGGCAATAGGGTGAAAATGGGTATCCAAATTAAAGCTAAAGGCTGATGGTACCTTAGAGAGATACAAGGCTAGACTTTTTGCTAAAGGGTTTACTCAAAAATATGGTGTGGATTGTGAAGAAACTTTTTCACTAGTTGTGAAAATGTCTACAATCAGGTGCATTCTATCACTTACTGCTGCTTTTAAATGCCCTCTGCATCAATTAGACATTAACAATGCCTTCCTACTACATGGAGATTTGAAGAAATAAGTCTACATGAAAATGCCTCAGCGTATTCCAAACCCAGAAAATAAATTCTGCAAGCTCATAAAATCCCTTTATGGATTAAAACAGGCATTCAGGCAATGGTTCTCTAAGCTCCATAATGAACTTATTCAGCAGGGCTACTCTCAATCAAAGAATGATTATTATTTATATCTAAAAAGGAGTGCAGGGTATCTAATAGTTGTTGCTGTTTATATGGATGATATAATCATCACAGGGGATGATACTGATGAAATTCTCAGATTAAAGAAGCATCTTGATGATACTTTTAGTATCAAGGATCTTCGGATGCTTAGTTACTTTCTTGGCATTAAAGTGAAACATCGGCAAGATGGAATTGGTTGACACAGAAGAAATTCACTAAGAATTACTTTCTTTTTGTGAAATGGATGTTTCAAAAACAGCCTCAACACCCTTGCCTATAAATCTAAATCTTGTTGAAAATTATGGTAATTTCTGTCCTAATCCAGCTCTCTACAGGTCACTTGTTGGGAAACTGAATTTCCTTACTCATACTAGGCTTGATCTATCATATGTTATTCAGACACTTAGTCAGTTTATGCATCAGCCTAGGCAACCTCACATGGATGCTTTGCATCATGTTCTCGGGTATATAGCAGGCTTTATTGGCCAAGGTATTCTACTGCAGGGTTCTGACTCCTTAACTCTTAGAGCTTATTCTGATTCTGATAAGTGTTTTATTTGTCCACTTATTAGGGCATTTTAAACAAGATTTTGTACTCTTTCCCCTAGTATAATCCTTTTTCCTAACTCCTTTTATGGTAATTAGCATCTTTTTGCTTCCCCATTTCTTTTTATGTGTGTGCTCGTGTTTGTAGGTGCAATGAGAATGTGGCTTAGTGGCTCAAGCTTGAAGACTTTTTTGAGGGAGCTTGCACCGGGAAGGAGCGGGCGTGCACCTAACAAGGAGCGGCTGCTTCTAACCCAGCACTACATTATGCCTCCCCTGCTCCAAGCTGGAGCGGGCGTGCACCCCAGAAGGAGCGAGCGCTCCTCCCTGCCTCCTAGAATTTTTCCATCTCCTGTACCACTAAGAGCGGGCGCGCAAAGAAGCCAGGAGCGGGCGCTCCATATAGAGGAGCGGGCGCTCCCACTTAATGGAGCGAGCGCTCCTCCTGTTCTCAAGCCCGATTTTGGCGGATTTTACAATGTAATTTTGGGGCATATAAATAGGACGCTCGACTTCAGTTTTTGGGACCTTCTGCCTCCTTAACTCTTCTAGACTTATTCTCTTAATTAGTTCAAGGTTTTCCTCTCCCTTAGTTTAGTTTCTCAAAAATTCAATCATTTGTAAGAATTATTGGAAGTTTGTTCCATCAATTTCAACAATTTATTAACCTTGAAGTTTATTAAGTAATATCTTTCCTTTATCTCTTACTCTTAATTTTCAGTTTTTTAATTGTTTTGAGTTGATAATTTCTCCCTTAATCTTATTTATTTGTTCTTGCATGTTTAATCCATTCTTGTTCTATCTCTCTCCTAACTTATTTGAATTCATGAAAACCCGGCCTAGATTCAATTGCCAGAGTAATTTTCACCATGCTTAGTGAGTAGTCTCTTAGTAAGGGGTTGGGTGAAAATCCAACCAAACTATGGTTGATTAACTTGGAATTGTTCATGTTCTACCTTGGATTGATGGTTGTTTGTACTTGAATTTATTATTACATGTGTATTTTGATGGCCACTTCATGCTCATGTGGTATCCCTCTTCTCACATCAAAAGATGGAGTTTTGGGGTGAGTCCTTTCTTGTGCAATTGGATTATGCTACTTTCATGATTGTGGGTGTTTGGTTTCATTGAGTAGGATGCTTTAGTGTGGTAATTAGGTGAGAAATCCCAATTATTTGTGCCTCATACTAGTTTGGAACGATCGAGAGACAAACTCAAGCTAGAAATCCACTTCCTATCCTTGAGACTTAGTCCTTGTCATGTTAGTGCTTAATCTAAGGAGTACTTATGTTGTGGCTTTGAAAGAAGACAATGTTAAGTTCCTATTCTATCTTCCATGTGTGCTCATGATTTATGCTTCTTATCGATTCCTTGGTTTTTGTTGGTGTTGAATCCCGTTTCCCCTAGCGTTCCTTTATATAGTAGTTAACAATCAAAACCCAATTTGTGACCGAATTAGCTTACAGCCGTTTCATATTCTTGGTGTTCTTTACCCATTCCCTGTGGATACGATCCTTTGCTTACCCTATACTTGTCTCTTAGGTAGAAATATTTTTTGGTTTTAGGGTGATTGTCCAACGACCGATTATTCCTCTACCAAAAATGGCGTCGTTGTCGGGGAATGGCGTTAAGCATTGAGTTACTTATGAGATATGTGAGCCTAGTTCATTTGTATAGCTTTATTTTTCTTTGTTTTCTTTGACTAAACTACTAATATCCCATCTAGTCTTCTTTTTTTATGCCCAAACGCAACAATAGGAAACTTCCTCTTGTGCCATTGAACCTCGAGCTTGAAAAAGTTGTGAGGGACAATCGAAGAGAACAGAGGGCGATAGCTAGCGGTGCTATTTCAAGTGAGCCGCAAGTTGAGGTTGAGTCCGATCATTCTAGTTCTAATAAATCTAGTGGAGGCACCATTCCATTAGAATCACCAGGGAAAAATTCTCCAACTACTCCACCTATCTGCCAATTCGACATGGCCCAACCGAACAAAACTTTGATAGAGTTTGGTGTCCCTCTACCATATCAAGAAGCGAGCGAGATTGTTACTCCCACCACCGAGGCAAACAATTTTGAGATAAGGCCCGCCCTTATCACCTTGATCGAGGGCCATCAATTTTCTAGGGCCAAGCATGAGGATCCCATTGCACATCTTAAGCAATTTACACGGTATTGTAGCACCGTGAAGGCAAATGGGGTGACTCCGGAATACATCCTTCTAATTATGTTCGAATTTTCTCTCACGGGGAGTGCAAGTGATTTGCTTGATAGGTTGAATCCGAACTCATTGACAAATTGGAATGAGGTAACTTTGGAATTTCTTGGGAGGTTCATACCTCTTGGAAGAACGGCGGAGTTGAGATCCAAAATATCAAATTTCCAACAAGAACCCGATGAGTCTCTCTATGATGCTTGGGAGAGATACAAGAGCTACCAAAAACAATGCCCACATCATGGCATGTAAGATTGGCTCTTATTACATGGGTTTTATAGGGGTCTCTTGAGGGCGGATTGCATACTATTGGATGGAGCATCGGGTGGTCCACTCATGAACAAGCCACCATTGGAAGCACTCAAAATCATCGAAGAGGTGGTGCAAAACTACACCGATTGGAGTCATGATGAGAGGAACTCCACTAAAAAGGGAGGAAGGTATGAGGTTAGTGTTATCAATATGCTTAGCTCAAAATTAGATATCTTGTCCTCTAAATTTGATCAAATGCAATCTTCTCCCCCTCCCATTTCCCCTCTCCAAAACTCACATGCATCTAACTCTTCAAATAATAATATGTCTATGCAATTGGTGTCTTGTGAAGTATGTGGTGGTGAAGACCATATATCTTCGGAGTGTCCCTTGTTGAATGAGCAATGTTCCCCTTCCCCTTCTGTGGAACAAGTTAATAATGTGCATGCTAATCCTAGGTTTGACCCCTACTCCAACACCTATAATGAGGGATGGAAACATCACCCAATTTTGGTTGGAGAAGTGGCCAAACCTATGGGCAAGGTAGTGGTTAAGGTCATGGTCAAGCTAGTGGTGGTGGTAACTATGTGTCTAATAATCAACATAATCATAGTAATGACAATAGGTACCAAGAAAAAGGCCAATACTCTTCCACTCACAACCCACCCGGTTTCAATGGAGGTATAAGACCAAATCTAGCCCCTATTCCTAAACCACCACTTCAAATTCAAGCCCCTCCTCCTCCTAAGTCTAATTTAGAAAGTATGATGGAGCAATTCATCAACACCCAAACTGAAAAGACAAATGACTTAGAGGAAAGCTTAAAGCAAAAGCGAACCCACAATAAAATGTTGGAAAATCAAATGGCCCAAATAGATAGTGCCCTTAAAGGAAAGTCTAGTACCTCATTGCCTAGCCAAGGTTTAGATCCTAGAGAGAAAGCTAATGCCATTGTAATTAGAAGTGGGAAAATCTTGGGGGAGGTACAAGGGAAAGGAATGCAACATGACTTAGAATGTGTGAAGTTAAAAGAAAATGTGATACAAATGAGTGATTCCCATGGAGAGTTGAAAGTGGAAAAAGAAAAAGAGAAAGAAGAAGAGAAAAACAAAGTAAAAGAAGTTGAAAAAGAAAAAATAAGAGTGAAATCCCGCTTCATGTGGCAAAACTTCCTTTTCCGGGAAGGTTTGCCGGGTCTAGACTTGATGAACAATTTGCTAAATTTTTATAAGTCTTGAGAAAGCTTTATGTTAACATACCATTCACCGATGCTATAAAACAAATTCCAACTTATACTAAATTTCTTAAAGACATTTTGAGTAATAAAAGAGAAGTTGACTCTGTGGAAACGATTAATATGCCGAAAAATTGTAGTGCAATTATTCAAAATAAGTTGCCCAGTAAGCTTAAAGATACCGGTAGTTTTTCTATTCCATGTGCTATTGGTGAAATGGTAATTGATCGTGCTTTGTGTGATCTTGGTGCTAGCATAACCTTGATGCCCCTCTCTATGGAAAAAAGACTTGGCCTAGGAGAGTTAAAGCCCACTAACATTTCTCTTCAACTTGCCGATCATTCGGTTAAGATGCCTGTGGGAAAATTATAGGATGTCCCCCTTAGGGTGGGCAAACTTTACATTCCGGTGGACTTTATTGTACTTGATATGGATGAGGATTTGAATGTCCCCATAATTCTAGGTAGGCCTTTCTTAGCCACGGCAGGGGCTATTATTGATGTGAAAAATGGTAAATTGTCTTTGCTTGTTGGAAAAGAGAAAGTGGATTTTAAATTGAACAAAGTTATGAAATGTCCTTCCAACATGGATGATTATATGAGTATTGATATTGTTGAGAATGTTATTAATGAATCCATACAATTGCATTTGCATAACACTAATTATTCTCTTGAGTGTGAACTTGAAAGCAAAGATAGGTCTTGCAATGAAGACATGGAGATGGAGCCAATTGGGGAGAATCTTGACTCCACCCCCATGGACAAGGAAGAAGTAAATCTTGTGATTGGAGAAGAAGAAGTGAAGAAAGAGCTCATGAACGACAATGGTAAGGAATGTCCAAGTGTAGAGCTAAAACCTCTACCATCCAACTTGAGGTATGAGTTTCTTGGTCCATCTTCTACTTTTTCGGTTATTGTTAATGCTTCATTGGATGAGGTTGAAACCTCAAAATTGTTGAATTTATTGAGGATGCATCACAAAGTTTTGGGATATAAAATGGATGATTTGAAAGGTATAAGCCCAACGCTTTGCATGCATCGAATTTTATTGGAGGATGATGCTAAGCCATCAATTGAAAGATAAAGAAAGCTTAATCCTCTAATGCTTGAAGTGGTCAAGAAAGAAGTTCTTAAACTACTTGCCGCCGGTATCATTTATCCTATTTCAAATAGTAGATGGGTGGCACCGGTGCAAGTAGTCCCTAAGAAGGGGGGGATGACGATTATTAAAAATGAAAAAAGTGAACTCATCCCTACTAGAACTATTACCGGTTGGAGGATGTGTATATACTATCGCAGGCTAAACACATCCACCAAGAAAACCACTTCCCATTGCCTT